CTCTGGCAACTGGCAATACCTGAGAAATGGGCTCTATCTTGCAAAATGAAATTCAATGGTGAGAAAAGTACGTTTTTAACACTTAGGCAAGAAAAACCAAAAATACTTATTTACAGTCACTTAAATACGAGCCAGTAGTGTGCGGCAGCATCCAAAAAAGCCAATGCAATCCTAGGTTGTATTAAAAGAGGGGATAGAATCAAGATCATGTGAAGGCTTTATACCACTTTACACAGCCTTCCTAAGACCACACTTAGTTTACTGCATCCAAGCTTAGTCACCATATTGTATCATAAAAAAGAAGTTGCAACTCTGGAAAGAATGCAGAAATGCCCAACCTAGATATTCATATGTGTAGTTGTGTGAAACTAACCAGCTTCTCAAAAGCTGAGAAAAAGCAGACAGGGAACAACCTAATAAATGCCGTGTTTGGGCCAGGTGGCAGGTGGCAAAAAAAAAAAAAAAATGGTGCAAGAAATGGTATTTTGTGCAATTTTTATTTTTATTGTATTTAGTTATTAAATTTATATGCTGCCTATCTCACTATCGAGCAACTCTGCGTGTTTAATATCTCATCAATATATGCGTGTTTAATATCTTAATACGTGTAAACACACACACACACACAAAATTTCCCTTTTTCATTCTGTATCTTGCTTGCACAAATCATCTCTTGGACCTGGTGTGAAAATGGCTTAGACTATAGCCGAATGAGTAGGAGTTGGAATTTGTATCGATCTTTTTAAATATCAAAAAACCTTTGCACATTCTGATGCAAATATTGAACATAACAACCTTGCAGTAATGTAACACAAATAGAATTATAACGATGGGCATTGATTTCCAGGGTTATTTATTTATTTTTTTCCTTCCTCTCTCGCCATTTAGAATCAGTTATAAAACGGCCTATCGGAGGGGGCTGAGGACGATGTATCGGCGACGGTCTCAGTGCTGCCCAGGATATTACGAGAGTGGGGACTTCTGCATCCGTACGTAGAGGCAATTTGCTATTTTTTTTCTGCTGAAGTCTCTCTAGCGTTGCATGCCTGCATGCAGCTGTGGCGAGGCTTGCAAATGTTGAGATTGGAATTTAAGCAAGCAGGCAAAAACCTGCTGGCCAGTGGCAAAACCTGAGAGAATTATAGTGACGTTGATTGATCAGTTGTGCTTACTGTATTTCTCTTCTGTCACGTTCTCGTCATACACTAAATAATAATAACAACAATAACGACAATAATAATTAAATAATATCATCATCATCAGTTGTGTTTTGATGCTGCCCAATAACATTATAGGAGGAGAGCTGGGTTATTTATTTATTTTTTATTTTTATTTATTTGATTTGTCGATCGCTTTCAAAATAATAGGTATAAGTATAAACATGAGTTTATACAGGAAATAGGTGCAGATAAATGGGGAACAATAGGACAGGGACGGTAGGCACGATTGTGCCCTTATATACGCCCCTTACATACCTCTTAGGAATGGGGTGAGGTCAATGGAGGTTAGTTTGAGGTTAAGGGAGTGGGGGGGTTAGAGGATGTAACAACAGAGCCAGGTAGTCCATTCCAGGCATTGGTCACTCTGTTGTTGAAGTCATACTTTCTACAATCAAGTTTGGAGCAGTTTACACTGAATTTGTATCTGTTGTGTGCTCTTGTATTGTTCTGGTTGAAGCTGAAGTAGTCATTCACTGGTAGGACATTGAAGCAGATAATTTTGTGTACTACACTTTAATCCAACCATATGTGACATAGTTCAAGGTTGTCCAAGCCCAAAATCTCAAGCCTGGTTGTGTAGGGTATTCTGTTGCAAGCAGAGCAGTGTAGTACTCTTCTCGTGAAATATTTCTGGACTCGCTCGATTGTATTAATGTCTGATATACAGTGCAGATTCCAGACTGATGAACTGTATTCGAATATTGGTCTAGCAAAAGTTTTGTATGCTCTGGTTAGCAATTCAATATTTCCATAGGAGAAGCTTCATAAGATTAGATTTACAACTCTTAATGCCTTTTTGGCAATGCTGTTACAGTGATCTCTGGCGCTTAGGTCATTTGATATGAATTAGTCCTCAGCCAATCAGGAATCTTTTCCAATTTTCACCAAATCAATCTGTCTATCTATTTTCCTGTCTGTCTGTCTGACTGTCTAGCATATCTATCTTATCTATCTTATCTGTCTATCTATCTATCTATCTATCTATCTATCTATCTATCTATCTATCTATATCTAATCATCTATCTATCATCTACCTACCTACCTATCATCTATCTCTATCTCTCTATCATCCACTATCTATCTTTATGTAATCATATAGCACTCTCTCTATATCTATCTATCTATCTATCTATCTATCTATCTATCCATCCATCGATCTATCTATTTATCATCTATCTATCTATCATCTATCTATCTATATCATCTGTCTGTCTGTCATCTATCTATCTATCTATCTATCTATCTATCTATCATCTATCTATCTATCTATCTATCTATCTATCTATCTATCTATCTATCTATCTATCATCTATCCTTATCTAATCATCTATCATCTATCTCCATACCTACCTACCTCCGTCCATCCATCCATCCATCCATCCAATTTCTACAGCTGCCAATTTCAATAAATGGTTCTGGGCAGCTTACATTTCAAAAAACACATACCATAATTAAAAGAATAAGAAATATTTTAAAACAATTAACAATCTCCAATAATTATACTCAGTGGCAGAGATATTTGGCTGTTTCCTAAGAAAGCCAGGCCAGTCAGGCCCCATTCAGTACACCAGGTTCGGGCACACAGCCAGGTTTTTAAAGCTCTACGAAAGGCTAACAGGGTCGAGGCCATTCTGCTCTCCTAGGGGGAGATATTCCCCAGAGCAGGGACTACTGCAGAGTAACACAGAAAAGAAACAGTTGAAAGGGACTTTGGGGGTCTTTTAGTCCAATTCCTTGCTCAAGAGGGAGACCCCATACATTCCGCCCGTGCAGTTTCTTCACAAAAGGCAATACATTTTATTCAACGGCAAAAGCTTTCAAAAAGGTGTTCCCAGACTTTTGATTTTTTCTGCCTCAGAGCACCAGGCACCTGTGGCTGAGCTACCGTCAATCCAAATAAAAAACATTTTAGTGTGAAATACCGGTATTCTAAAATTCATCGGTATAAAATGAAAAGTGGTAATGTGTGAAAACAGACATTGAAAACATAACAACAGGCCAGAGTAAAATCGGGAGGAGCCATAAGAATGGCGGTTGAGCCAGAGAAAACTTATAAAGTAGCAGTGAAAGTTGTAAAAACATTGGCTTCTCTAAATATCTGGGAGGAAAAAAACGATCTTTCCCAAAGCTGAAAGGACAATAATGTTGCTGCGAGATGGCCTGACTGCTGAAGCCTTTCTTTAATCAGCTTCTTATAAAGGAGTTGTTAATAGTTTTAAAAACATTTGGGAAGATAGTAGCTTGGTTTATAATATTTTCTGGCTGGCCAAGTTGTGGTGGAAAAAAAATTAAGCAACTACAGAATTTGTAAGCTGTTAGGTGTATCAGCAGAAATTGATCTCCACAAGCCTTCACAAATTGGGATTTTCCACTGAATTTCCAGTTGCACACTTTTATTGCTATGGTGTTAGATTCCTGTGTCTGCAGAAGGTTATTCTCTTTGATTTTAGGCGGACAATGAGATAATTGTGGCTTCCTGCCAGCGCTAATACTACATCCCCCACCTTTCTTCTGGCGTGGTGACTCAGTGGTTAAGATGCTGGGTTTGTTGGCTGGAAAGCTGGCAGCCTAGGTTCAAGACCCCGAGCTCCATTAGACAGGGTGAGCTCCCGTCCTCACCCTAGCTCTTGCCAACCTAGCAATTTGAAAGCAGGAAAATGTGAGTAGATAGAACAGAACGGAACAAGAGTAGAGTAGAGCAGTGGTCACCAACTAGTGGGCCGGGGACCACTGGTGATCCGTGAGAAAATGTTGGTGGTCCACAGAGAAATGCCCTCCCAAAGCAATTGATCCAAGCGGCACGGGAACTCAAGGCTGGGCTGCCCACATGGCCCGTGGAAACACAAGACTTGCGTCGCTTGCATTGCGAACAACATGAGGTAGTGAGGGGAGGGGGGAAAGGGCGGAAGGGGGGAACTTGCCCCACTCGCCCCACGCACCTCGCCTGCCACTGGGCTGCTTCTTTCCGCTTCTTTCTTCTTCTGCTTTTGGCTGCATGCAAGGAAAGCAGCAGAAGACTTTCTTTCTCTCCCCCAAACTCCACCAGAAATGAGTCCTTGGGACCCTGCAAGGCCTCCTGCTCCAAGAGGCTGCGCTGGCAAAGATTCATTTCTGGCGGAGTTTGGAGGAGAGAAAGAAAGACTTTGGCTGCTTCTGCTGCTTTCCTTGCATGAAGTCAAAAGTCTCTCTCTCTCTCTCTCCCTCCCCCTGAGAACGGAGCTGGAGACGGTATCCTGCAATCCCAAATAAAGAACGATCGATCGGTAAGAAAACAGGGTGGGGGATTTTCCTGCAGACTCTTTGGGGATTTTCCCAGGGTCTCTGGTCCGCGGGATTTAAAATGATGAGTTTGGTGGTCCCTGAGGTCCAAAAGGTTGGCGACCCCTGGAGTAGATATAGAGTACAGTAGAGTAAGTAGACTAGATTAGACTAGAGCAGGGGTCTCCAACCTTGGCAACTTTAAGACTTGTGGACTTCAACTCCCAGA